TCAATATCAAGTTAGAGCAAGCCATTGCTTACTTGAGAAGTAGAAAATTCACGAAAATTGTGGAATCACGCCTATTCCAGCATCCAGCGTTGCATCTCAGTTCTCACAAGCCTGAAATTGAATCATTCATAAAGCATTCACATATAAACAACATATTAATCAATGCATATGGATTATGAGAAACCAAAGATTAGTGAAAAAGACAAGTAAGAAAATGATGTAATAAGCAAAATTAAGGCAACAATATCCACAAAAAGATGATAGAATATCTTGAGAATTTCTTTAATGAAGTGTGATGATTTCATTGTTGTTGAAGCATCTATCTTAACTAGTAGGAACTTTTTGAATTAAGGGGGATCTAATCCCCGCCAGTTGGGTAGAAGTTCCCAAGTATCCCACTTGCTCATTATCATATAATACAAGGCTAGAAAATGACTTTTCAAGAATTCAACAAAAAGCTTGTCCCTTGTTCATCTTCACTTTGCCCATTTTGTGACCCCTAAGCACAAGAATCACATCTTTTATATGTACCCTCTTGCAAAAGATAAAAAGAATAAAATAAATAAATAAATAATTCTTCAACTTGCACTCCCCCATCGCCATCAACTTTTCTTCTCTATATAACCAACTTTGTGTTGAAATTTCTTAATAAAACACCTTCTATTTGACTTGTATTTCTCCTTTGACTGAGGCAACTCTTCTCTTCCCCTTCTTCTTCTTCTTCTTCTTCTCCTTCTCCTTCAACTAAAACTTCATATCCTTTTCTTTCAAACGCGCTTTCAAGTTCATGTCTCATTTCCTAGACGACCACATCTCACTCATGGCATCATCCTCTCTTTCGTCTACAAGAAGCTCCTCATGGACGCCTAAACAAAACAAGCAATTCGAGGAGGCTTTAGCACGGTATGACAAGGACACACCCGACCGCTGGCACAATATAGCACGAGCAGTAGGTGAGAAATCAACTGATGAAGTAAGGAGGCAGTATGAGGCACTAGAGAAGGACATCATGAAGATAGAAACTGACCAAGTACCAATACCTAATTATAGGTCTATTCCAAACAATGGCAGAGGATCTGGTAATGAACAGAGGTAGAGTATCCTACTAATTTTCTCGACATTGTTCATTGAATGAAGCTCTTTTTTAACACTAGTTTGAACATTTGATACAACCAGGATGATTAACGTTAACACCCACCTTAACCAAACCGAACCAAATCTAAAAGCCAAATTTTTTACTGATTAGAATGGATGGCAATCAAGAAAATCTATCATTCGCAAATCACAACAATCAGAAATCAGAATGCCAGAATCTTAGACGGTTAGACCTAAGTGTTGAAATTGAATCATTCACAAATCACAAAAGTCACAAATCAGAAATTAGATAAGCATTCAAAACTGAAATTACACAAATCACAACATCCACAAAACTGAAATTAGACAATAAGCAGCTCAAAACTAAAATTAGACAAATCACAAAAGCCACAAAACTGAAATAAGACAATGAGACAAAAGCCACAAAACTGATACTTAGCTACGCAGCCCATCGGCCATCGCCCACTTACCAGACCAGCAACTCCAGAAGAAGCCCCTGTCGCAGTCGCAGACGGCAGACCCAGTCCCAGACTACCACTTCACTACCAACAGGAAGCAGTCAACCGTCCTTGAAGAGTGAATCGTCGGAATATGGATTGCTGATTTAGGGAAAGCAGTCAACCGCAACCGGAACTCGATTGCTATTTAGGGAAAGGCTTCAAACGAAAAATAGTTGAAGGAAGGAAGAAGAAGAGTGGGAGACTGCCCTTGCATCTGGAAAACACCACTCCGGCGTCGGCTTGAAGAACGGTTGATTGGTGGATTGAGGATTATTGGAGTTGGAGAGTTGAACGATTGAGAGCGGGAAGGAGAGTGATTTGTGGACTGTGAATCGTGATTCAGTGGTGTTGGTTTAAAAAAAAAATTTTTTTTTGGGCCAAAAACTGAGGCCCCCTCCACGTTTGGGCCTGAGGCGGCGGCCTCATTCGCCTCGCCTCGCCTCAGGACCATTACCAACTAAAGCTCGAAACCCAACTCAAGGATTTCACATTGTAGGCGATTTTGGTTAATATGACAAACATTTTCCAAACTACTAAGATCTCATATTTTGTGAATATATAATTCCAATAGTTACATTACTAAAATAATGAGATGTTGATTATATTATATTTTAATATTTCAAAAAGTTGGAGTTATGGTATTTGCAGTTTGCTTACATATAAGTATGGTATGCAAATTCATGAATAAAATTCCTTCATTTATATATTTATATATCTATTAAAATTTCCCATTACACGAAAAAATATGCTTTTACGGCACTTATCTTTACATACAAATAAATTGTGGGGCTACTTACCAATGGGACAAGAATATAATCCGAGAAGGTAAATTTCGAACTTCTGTCACAAATATTGAGCAATGCATCAACCGTCGTGAAATGAATTCCCTCTCGATGCAAAGGCAAAATGAACGAATAAATAAAAAATAAAAGTAGAACGAGAGAAAGTGAGAGTAGTTTAAAATAATTCTATTAAACAATATGAAAAAAATGGTTTACGAGAGTATTGAATTGATATGCATAAGAATTTATTTAATAAATTCAAATTTTAGAACAAGTGATTTAACATTGTATCTTAGTACATAAATGTCTAAAGTTCAAGTTTCCCTATCACTAATGAAATTGTGCGCATGTTAGTCTTTAATTGGGAAAAAAAAAAAAAAAAAAAAAAAAGAAAAGAAGAAAGATGAACTCCACCTACTTACCCCTTTGAATGTCAAGCCGAATCTGACCGTAGGCCCTAATTTTTTTTTTGTAGAAATAATGTATTAAGAAAAAATAATAGAGTATTTACTCTGGAGAACCATTATTCCTCCTACAGATTCATGGACCATCTTACGTCAAAAAAGTACATGGACCAGTTTGAAACATTCAGAAATTTTAGGGACCGATATGCAACAATTAGAAAGATCATGGACTGAACCACAGGAGAAATGAAACATTAGAGATCAAGTTGAACAGTCAAAATAGTTCATGTGCAGAAATGGAGTTATTAGAAAATGTAAGAGCTATTCTGTAGGATGCCGAAAATTCTAGTGTAAATTTATGAAAAGTCGGATTGATTTCGATGCGGGTATGCAAACTGCAAAAACTCGAGGGGCTGTTTTGTAGAATTTATAGAAGAATGAGGATACCTTTTTAAGATCAAACCTAATTTTCCTTTTTGTACTTTTTTCCTTACCTCATTTATAAAACGCGACATCTTCTATTGTCGACCTTCAAAAAAAAATTATATAATTAAGTGTTATTATAGCCCTATGTATGAGCCACACATGTGGCTTCGGGCTTTAAACTCTAGGCTCAATCTCATCGATGAAAGTTGAAGACTAGTCTTAGTCGATCTTAGCCCTAAAAATCAGGACTCGAGCTAGGTTAACGATATGATTTTTAGGGCCAGCTACATGTTAAAAATAATAAGTAAAAAATATGTGCACAATATTTTTACATGATCAAATAGAAAGAAAATAGATTGATAGCAGAAAAACTCCTATTTGAAACCTTTTGTGCGAAAAACACCCTACCGTCAACATGCGTCATATTTGCCATTAAAAACAGTAAAAATGCCAAAATTAAAAAGGAAAAAATTGCAATTTCAGTATCCAAACTTTTCCTTTTTACAAATTAAATCCAAATGTTTTATATGTGTCACCCACAATTTCAAATCTTTAAAACTTTATTTTTCACCATACTCCATTCTACCCCCACTTCATCTTCTTCCACAAAAATATTTTTTTTTTCACATAAAACTCAATTAATTTAAAATAATCAAATCAAAGATAAAAAAACAAAAAATAAAATTTCTTCTTCCTGCCCCCATCCCCAAGAACCAATTGCAAATCCTAATCCAACCACCAAAAACCATCCATTTCATCTTCAAGAATTCAAAGAAAATCATCAAAATCGGAAAAGGAAAACCCTCATTAAATTCCCCACGAAATCCGGTTCCAAAATCTCCAAATTTGCTTTTTGATCCTACAACCAGTTCTCATTCTAGTTACTGCCTTGACACCTCTATCGCCACCACCTCTATCTCCGGCCGCACCTCCTTGTCCAGCCTTCGCAAAATGCTGCTAGAAAACACACAAATTTATGACTTCAATCTTATCCCGTTGCACTCACTGTCACTGTTTGTGGATGCAATGACCTATGTTGTGATTCTTAATTCTCGTAAAGCGTCGTGAAAGTTGGATTGTCATTGTCAGCCGTAGTTCGAGATGTATATGGAAAAGTTGGTACATTTAAAAGTTGGGTTTTCCTAGGTTTTGGTATGGTGCGATGGTGATGGGATGCGTGGGGTTGGGGCGGGGTTGGAGGAAGAAGAAATTTTATTTTTCATTTTTTTTCCGATCTTTGATTTAATTATTTTAAATTAATTGATTTTTATGTGAAAAAAAAATTATTTTGGGGGAAGAAGATGATGTGGGGGTAGAATGGAGTATGGTGAAAAATAAAGTTTTAAAGATATGAGATTATGGGTGACACATACAAAACATTTGGATTTAATTTGTAAAAAAATAAAAGTTTGAGTACTGAAATTACAATTTTTTCCTTTTTAATTTTGGCAATTTTTACAGTTTTTAATGACAAATATGACGGATGTTGACGGTATGAGAGTTTTTGCACAAAATGTTTCAAATATGTGGTTTTTTGCGATTTCCAATAGGTAGGGGTATATCGCAAATGAAAACATTTTTGGGAGGTTTTCTGCTATTAATCTGAAAGAAAATTGTGCCTACATTATCTTTCTAATAAATACAAGTTCCATCATAATATTTAGAATAATGTTATTTAGCGTCGTAATGTTGAACACAAATTTAAGTGTCAACATATCATAAGTTCTATTAAATGGGTCATAATTTCTTGTATTTAACAAAATTTATAATTTATGACACTAGCATTGTCATCTACATTGGTGTTTAACATTGATGATTCTAAGTTCTTGTTTGTATTATTTTAAAACAAAACTCTTTAATTCTCATACTTATTTTCGATCACTCATTCACAAAATAAAATATTTTGTACGTTAATTCAAAACACTTTCCTAAATAGCATTGCTCTAACGATTATATCACAAAAAATATTGAAAAGCATGTTCGGCTTAGATTAAGCCCATGTTTGACAATCATTATTTCTAATTTTTTTAATTCTCATACTCATTTTCAATTACATATTTAATCCCTCTTTGATATGAATTAAAATCAATTTTTTTTTATCAAAATTTGATAAACATTGATGAATTGTGCGGTTAAAAAGTTGTAGGTCTCACGAAATATATGGTTTAAATTAAAATATAGTTTAAAATCTTTACAAAACAAAGGATTACATAATAAAATATTTTGTATATAAATTCAAAATTTTTCCTACATTTTAACTACACAATTCACCAAAAAATCACCATTTAAAATTCTATTTTCTCAAAATAATAATCATCAAACAGTAGCTAAAATAAGTAAAAGATTATTATTTATTTTTAAAATGTTAGAAAAATTATTGTTATCTTATTTAAGTAAAAAATTATTATTTTGAAAAAAAAAGACAACCTTATTTTCCCTCCAATCCTTTGACTTCTGCATTATAGCAATTTCAGCCAAAGAAACACGTTGCACACATCGACAGCTGTGTTTGGTGAGGCAGTCTGTCTATTAGTATTTGTTTTTTCAGCACAAGAAAATGAATCCATGTCTTTTCCCGCTCCTCCTTGAATTTCATTTTACTTTGACCCTTTCTTCGACTCGAAACTAGAGGGGCAAAATTTGTGTCACTTTGTATCTGTTTTGTCCAGAAAATTCATACAAAAAGGGAAAAATTTAGACTCTTATTTGATATATTTTGTAAAAATGGAGGAGGCAGTAGAGAGTAGAGTGGAGAAAGCGAAAGAGAATGAAAAAGGGAAAGGGATTGTGGTAGTGGTGATGGAAACCCCGGATAGGAGCAAAAACAATCAGACCACAACCTCCACCAACAAATTCGAGGTGTGATTTGCATCTTTTTTCTATTTATTATGTATAATGGGTGGTGATTTGACCTTTATTTGGGTTAATTGATGTTGGATATGAAGTGTTTTTCTTCTATCAAATCTTTATTCTTCCTTTTTTCCCCTGGAGTTTGGTTATTTGATACTTGATTAGTGCTTTTTTTTTGCTTGCTGGATAGGGTTTGGAATATGGGTTTTTAGTAGTTTAGTTTTTTGATGGCTTTCTTTTGTTGGGGAGTTGTGGTTATGTTGATCTATCTTTGATTTGTTGTGGTTGTTACTGAAAAAGAATTGGAAAGTGGGTTTTCAATTAATTGATGAAAATCTGTTTCTCTAAAGGGTTTTCTGAGTTATAATTCTGTTTATTGGTCTTTGATTTGTGGTAGTAAATATGGGAAAAAATTTCTTTCAATGTAGTTTTGGCTGGAGGTGTAGTAAATATTAATAATTGACTTAAGAAGTGACTTTTGGTTGATGTTTCAAACATGGTTTTTAATGTATTTTTTATTAGGGGTTTTGACCTTGTTAATTGATCTTGGATTTGTGGAATCTAGCCCTTGAGAAAGTTTCTTTTGACGAAATCCTTGTTTTTTATTTTTT